TGCTGCTGTTTTGTTCCTTCAGTTTTTCTTTGTTCTTATACTCCACATATGAGTGAAATCATTTGATACTTGTCTTTCTCTGCCTGGCTTATTTCACTGAGCATAATACCCTCTGGTTCCATCCATGTTGTTGCAAATGGTAGGATTTGTTTTCTTTTTATGGCTGAATAATATTCCATTGTGTATATGTACCACCTCTTCTTTATCCATTCATCTACTGATGGACACTCAGGTTGCTTCCATGTCTTGGCTATTGTAAATAGTGCTGCGATAAACATAGAGGTGCATCTGTCTTTCTCAAACTGGGCTGCTGCATTCTTAGGGTAAATTCCTAGGAGTAGAATTCCTGGGTCAAATGGTATTTCTATTTTGAGCTTTTTGAGGAACCTCCATACTGCTTTCCACAATGGTTGAACTAATTTACATTCCCACCAGCAGTGCAGGAGGGTTCCCCTTTCTCCACAACCTCACCAACATTAATACAAAGAATTATTAGAGAATACTATGAAAAATTATATGCCAATAAATTGGACAATCGAGATGAAATGGACAACTTCCTAGAAAAACACAACCTTCCAAGAGTGACGCAGGAAGAAACAGAAAATCTGAATAGGCCAATTATCATCAATGCAATTTAATTGGTAATCAAAACATCCCCCAAAACAAAAACCTGGGTCCAGATGGCTTCACAGCTGAATTCTACCAAACATGTAAAGAAGAACTAATGCCCATCCTTCATAAAGTATCCCAAAAAGTAGAAGAGAAGGGAATACTTCCAAATTCATTCTCTAAGGCCAGCATCACTCTAATACCAAAAGCAGACAAGGATACCACAAAAAAAGAAAATTATAGACCAATATCCCCGATGAACATAGATGAAAAAATCCTCAAGAAAATATTAGCAACCCAAATTCAAAAATACATAAAAAAGATAATCTATCATGACCAAGTGTGATTTATTCCAGGGATGCTAGGATGGTACAATATTTGTAAATCAATCAATATCATACACCACATTTTAAAAAAGGAAAAAAAACACACAATCATCTCAATAGATTGTGAGAAAGCATTTGACAAAAGTCAACACCCATTCATGATTTTAAAAACTCTCAACAAAATGGGCATAGAGAGTACATACCTCAGCATAATAAAAGCCATATACGACAAACTCACAGCCAACATCATACTTAATAGCAAGAAGCTGAAAGCTTTTCCTCTCAGATCAGGCAGAAGACAAGGGTGCCCACTCTCACCACTTTTATTCAACATAGTACTGGAGGTCCTAGCCATGGCAATCAGACAACACAAAGAGATAAAAGGCATCCAAATTGGTAAGGAAGAAGTCAAACTCTCACTATTTGTAGATGACATGATATTATGCATAGAAAACCCTAAAGAATCCACCAAAAAACTATTGGAATTAAAAACTGGATTCAGCAATGTTGCAGGATACAAAATTAACACATAGAAATCTGTTGCATTCCTATACACTAACAACAAACTAGCAGAAAGAGAAATCAGGAAAACAACTCCATTTACAATGGCATCAAAACGAATAAAATACCTGGAAATAAACTTAACCAAGGAGGTGAAAGACATATTTTCTGAAAACTATATGACACTTATGAGACAAATTATAGAAGACACCAATAAATGGAAATCTATCCTGTGCTCATGGATAGGAAGAATTAATATTGTCAAAATGGCCCTCCTACCCAAAGCAATTTACAGATTCAATGCAATCCCTATCAGAATACCTACAGCATTGCTCAATGAACTAAACAAATAGTTCTGAAATTCATATGGAACCACAAAAGTGTCTGAGTAACCAAAGCAATCCTGAGGAAAAAACAAAGCTTGGAGGGATTATGCTCCCTGACTTCAAGCTCAACTACAAAGCCACAGTAATCAAAACAATTTGGTACTGGCACAAGAACAGACCCATAGACCAGTGGAACAGAACAGAGAGCCCAGATGTAAACCCATGCATATATGGTCAATTAAATATGATAAAGGAGCCATGAATATATAGTGAGGAAAAGACAGCCTCTTCAAGAAGTGGTGTTAGGAAAACTGGACAGCTACATGTAAGAGAATGAAACTGGATTACTTACTGTCCAACTCCTTACACAAAAGTAAACTCGAAATGGATCAAAGATCTGAATGTAAGTTATGAAACCATAAAACTCATAGAAAAAAACATAGGCAAAAATCTCTTGAATGTAAACATGAGCAACTTTTTCCTAGACACATCTCCTCGAGCAAGTGAAACAAAAAAAAATGAACAAGTGTAACTACATCAAACAAAAAAGCTTCTGTACAGCAAAGGACACCATCAGCAGAAAAGACATCCTACAGTATGGGAGAATATATTTGTAAATGTCATATCTGATAAGGGTTGACATCCAAAATACATAAAGAACTCATATACCTCAACACCCAAAAAACAAATAACATGATTAAAAAATGGATAGAGGACCTGAACAGACACTTCTCCGGAGAAGAAATACAGATGACCAGCAGGCAGATGAAAAGATGCTCCACACTGCTAATCATCAGGGAAATGCAAATTCAAACCACAATGAGATATCACCTCACCAGTTAGGATGACCACTATCCTAAAGACAAGAAACAACAAATGCTGAAGAGGATGAGGAGAAATGGGAATCCTCCCACACTGTTGGTGGGAATGTAAATTGGTGCAACTGTTGTGGAAAATAATACAGAGGTTCCTCAAAAAACTAAAAACAGAAATACCATTTGATCAAGTAATTCCACTTCTAGGAACTTACCCAAAGAAAATAAAATCCCTGATTTGAAAAGATATATGATATGCACCCCTATCTTTATCACCACACTATTTGCAATAGCCAAGATATGTCTATCAACAGATGAATGGATAAAGAAGAAGACGTACATGTACACAATGGAATACTAGTCAGCCATAAAACATAAAAGATTCTGCCATTTGCAACAGCATGGATCTAGCAGGTATTATACTCACTGAAAGAAGCTAGGTGGAGAAAGACAAATACCATATGATTTCACAAATTTGTGGAATATAAAAACAAATCAAAACAGAAGGAATGAAATAGCAGTAGATTCGTAGACTGAGAAGTGACTTGTGGTTACTTACCAAGGGGGAGAAGTTGGGGCAGGGGAGGCGGGGAGAGGGATATAGGGGCACTATAATTAGCAATTGCAGTATAAGTTGGTCATGGGGATAGTGGTACAGCATGGAGAATAGTCAATGATTTTGTAACATCTTCCTACACTGAAAGATAGTAACTAATGCTAGAGGAGGTAGGGAGGACTTGATAATGTGGGTAACTGCTGAAACACTGTGATGTACAACTGAAAACAACATAAGATTGTATATTAACAATACTTTTAAAAAAAGAAAAGATTGGCTTTTAAATAAGTTATAAAAATCCAGATTAAGAAGCCTGACGTCTCACTTCAATTAAATGCAAAATTACCTGTATGAGGTTCTGAATTATAAAACTGGATGGGATTAAAGTAACTAAACTTTTTCTGTTAAACAAATGGTAATTATTCAACAGAGTTCAAGCTTCCTCTGGTTTCTATATTACCTCTGTAGACCTAGAGCACAAGGATCCAATTGCCCAAGACAGAAAACCTGGGACTATGTCCTATTAATTCTGTCATACAATCATCTCTTGATTTTATTTCTTCTTATTCAACATCATGGGGACCACCTTACTTTGGGCCACCATCATTTCTTGCCCCAGACTATTTCCAAAGTCTCCTACATAGGTTTATTTGGTCTATTAACTGTCACTATACTCCAGAGCAGGGATTCCTAACCATTTTTTGTATCATAGAACCCTTTGGCAGTCTGATGAAGCTTGTGGACTTATTTTCAGAATGTTTTTAAATGCATGAAAAAAAGTACACAGGGTTACAAAGAAAACCAATTACACTGTAACATAGTTATCAAAGTATTTTCTTTAAAAAATGTGTGCTACAGTTACATGGGATTCTTAACACAGTTCTACTTGTGGGTCGAATAAAGTACTGTGATATCAAAGAAGTGATGAGTGTATAAATATTTTGAGACATCTGCATCAACTGCAACGTGATGTGAAACCATCTTTGATTTCTGTTGGTGACAGTAACAGTTACTGCTGATTCCACTTATAGTTGTTGCCTACATTTGTAAAAATAAAGTGCTAAATTACAGAGTTTGATGAAAATGCAGTTATCATTTTTCCCCATCCAAGTTTTTATACCCTGCGAATTTTATACCATTTGTGGACCCCAGGTTAAAAACCTTTACTTAATCTATTGGAGCAAAAATGCTTGGGGTGACTGCAAAGATACAGAGAGGTTTTTCGTTTTTAAATGGGGAGAAGAAAAAGCTGAGAAAAGGTCATTAACATCCAAAACGCATACCGTAATTCCTGTACGTTTTGCCAAAACGGGCTACAAAGTCAGTTTGGGCTTCCGAGTAGCCAAGGAAAAGGTTCTGTACCGAACTTTCCCAGCTTTGCCGTCGATTGGCAACCTCTTCCCTGAAGACCCACGCCATCCCTAGACTTCCTGTGCCCACCTAATCCAGCCTCTGCCGACCTCTCCTGCTTCCTCCAACGCCACTGTCCCTTCCCGTCCCGCACCGCCCAGACAGGTGGAAACTACTCCTTAGAGTCTAGAAAAGACCGCAGGTTTTCTGCCAGCACACGGGCGTTCCCAGGCCGGCTTCCGGGCGCCCAACGTCCTCAATCCAATACCAAGGTCCCTTGCGCTCCAACGTGACATCTGCCCCGCCCCCGGCTGTTAGGCCCGTGCACTCTGCGCCCTGGGCTTCCCGAGGAGCTCCCACTTTAGCATTTAATCACAGTTCTCTGCCTCACCCACGAAGCAGGGTGGCCCTGGCACACTGACGAGTCCTGAAGGACACACTTACGGAAGTGGTGCGAAGTGAATCCCATTTCGCACAAACGAGCTTGGTTTCCCAGGACCCCACGAGACCGTACGCGGAGGGGAAGGTCCAGCCAGGAGGAGGTGGACCTCGCATGACGTCACTGCAAGCCCCGCCCTTGTCAGGGCCTTCTAAACACGTCCTTCCGCCCGCTTTCTTCCTCTCCCTTTTCCTCGGCCATCGTGGAGTCGCTAGAAGGTTTTGTTCCCCAGTATGGTAAGTCCATCCGTTACCATCGGCTCTGCGGTGGCTTCCCGAGACCTGAGTCCCCTTGAGCTCGCCGGCGCCGTTCACTGTGTCAAGGTGCGGGAGGCTTTTTAGGGCTTTTTGCAGAGAAGATAGAGTTTGGCGCCTGCTGAAATCCGCGGGCCTTGGGGGAAGCTAGCAAGCGATCCGACACCTGGGAGTGGGCGGGCTGCGCTAACGCCCGAGGCCCCTCGCGGGCACTTCTTGGTCCCCGGCCGCCGCCCAGGCGGGCAGGGGTTCCCGCTTGCTTTCGTCCTTCTCTCGTAGACGTCTGATTCCGGGACAGGGAGAGAAGTCAGTGGGGGCCGGCGGGGACACCCCAGAAATCTGGCCCGACTGCGGGCTGCCCGCGACGTGCCCGTCGAGAAGGGAGTGTGGGCTGCTGGTTTCAGAAATTTCTTAATTTGGCGGCCAGGAGCATATAACACGTAATGAATTTAAAAGGATCTGTTAGCCCTTTGTTCGGGGATTTGAGAGTCACCCTGTGTGGGAAGGGCCTGGAAAGAGGGATGCTGTGGTGTGAATCTGTATGATATAACGGCATTCTTCCTTAAGTGCCAGCTGTGTAGTCACTTGGGTTTTACCTGTGATAGTTCTCTGAGAACTTAAAGTTGTATAGGTTTCTAGGTACGGAGAGGATCAGTATCTAGTGTTCTATACTTTTCAATGGCTACTGCGAGCTGGGAGAGAGGGTTGTAGTCTTTGCCTCCTTTATGGAGGTCCCTACTTTTATGCAAGGGCGTATTGGGCCACATTGGCCAAGCTTTAGACCAGCACTAGTGCCATTTCTACGGATTGTCCTGCAAACTGGGGAGGAGGTGGTTGAGGATCACCCAAGTTCTTAGTGAAAGCCAAAAAATGTAACGGGAAATTGGGAAAGTCGTCCTTGAAAAAGTAACATTTTAAATAGGATTAATAGCAAAATGATCAGTGAATTAGAATAGATCTACCGAATGTCAGGGACTTTGTGTTAATCTCAATGACTTTGGAAAGTAGGTGCGTGTTTTACAAAGTAGTGCACTGAGACTGGTGACTTGCAAGTAAGTGAATGTCCTCCTTAAAGCTGTACTCTTTCATTGAAAACCAGGTTCTAGCCATCTTTGATATTTGGTCCTCTGAGTTCTGCAGTGACAGCAGGGAAGACTGGAAGGCCCCCTAGCCTTAGAGCAGAGAGGAGACACCTGGGTTTGAGTCTCAGCTCAGCACATTAATACTCTGATTTGGGGCAGGTTACTTACTTTTCTGACTACTGATGTTTATTTGAACAACGGGAATTACAGTACATGCCTTCAGAGAAGCAAAGGGCATGATGGGTTTAGCATTGAGAGGGTGGTTTTTGGTATATATGAAGCATTCAAATGTTTGTGGGTTGAAGGAGTTCTGACTTTGAAGCATTTGAGCAAGCTTTGGTGTTTCCGTCTAAATTGATTGCACTTCCTTCCCAGTCTTCTCACAAGACTTTCAGGATCAAGCGATTCCTGGCCAAGAAACAAAAGCAGAATCGTCCCATTCCTCAGTGGATTCGAATGAAAACTGGTAATAAAATCCGGTAAGGACCCACAACCATGTGCTTGTTTTTTGTTAAATTTAAGATTACCTTTTGGGTATAAATATGCAATTGAAAGATACACACAATCTAGTTTATCCTGTACCACTGTTTGAAATTTTTGTTTAATGTACTTCTGGGTTTCTGGACAGCATGCACCCACCAACTGAGTTTAGGGACGGACAGCCCTCCAGTATTTGTTAATTTCGTAGTTGTCTTCAGTGCGGGCCAGAACATAAGGTGGATGACTTGTCTTGTTACCCCTGTGGGGAAGATGATGTTGCTCACCCAGTGCATCTTTGAAGTGTTTTATCTTTTCTAAAGATTTGAAGATTTCCCTCTCTTGCAGAAGTAGTTGAATTGATGGTTTTGGAAGAAAGACGTTACTAGAATTGCTACAAAGGATCCCCAAGGTCATCTAGGCTAACTCCAGGCAAAGCTAGTCCTAAAACACGCGTCTCCTGCATGCCTTTCAGCCCCAGTGCTCTTTGGAAACCAGGTGGGCCTCGAGACAGGTCTCAGGAAAGAAAGCTAAGCATCAGAAATCAGTAATACTTGCCCAAGGTTACACAGTGTTACACAGCTTTCACAACTTCCGTTGATTTAAAATGAAGCATTTCCTGGACCTACCAAATAACTGAGCCCATAAGATCACAAAGGAGAAGGGACCAAAAACTATTGTCAAAGTTCTTATTTTCAGGAGTGTTTTTAAGCTGGCACTGTAGAGTGGGCCTAGCAAGTGTGTCCCTCTTGCCAGGTGGTAAAGACTTTGAAGTTTGGGAGTCCAAGATTGTGAAGCTAGTATAGAACTCTGATTTGATTATATGGCAAATTTAAGTGGAGTTAGTTTGCTGATGGAAGACTAAGGTGTGAATTGTCCGAGCTAAAATTGAGTGCCCATTTGCTGAATTCATTCAGCCTGTTAGAAAGACATGTGCAAATTGCCACCCACTATAGTCTGATAGGCCAGTTAATTGCTTCCTTTGGTTAATTGTGTGCTAGATGCTGGTCTTTATTATTTATATTTATATGTGTAGGGGGTGTCTCACTGTTTCACGTATAGCTAGATTTTAAAACCTACGGTGTTGCCATCATTCAGTACTGCAAAGAGCATTGAGTCACTTCACTTGAAGTGGTTTGGCAGCTCAGCCCTTCTACAAGTTTGATGAATTTCTGTTGAGAGCCTCTGACATCCATAATAAAGCCCTTTTAATGTATCACAATGAACATCAGTTTCTTGTCAGGTCCCCGTCCAGTGATGGTGGGATCTGCCTTTATAGGGTTGTTTGAGGAGAAAGAAACATACATATATAAAGCTCAGTAGAGGGTGCCTGCAATTACCAATATTAATCTCTTGCTCAAATGGGTCTCCTAGACCTAGGAAGTTATTTTTTATTTAGGTTTATATACTCTTGGCCTAGAGAATTAGAACAGTGGAATGATTTTTCTATTGCTTCAGCTGTCTTCCAACTTTTAAAATGTATTGCAAGCAGGTTGCAATTACAGTGCTTCATTTTGTGGAAGTACTGACATTATCCTGCTGAAAGAAAATTTGTGTTAATCTTTTGGTTTTGCCTTTATGGGGGTAAAATCGTGACAGATTGACATGGACAATTCTGAGATGGCCTTGGCTCTGCAAATTGCTTGCTTTGGTATTGAAATGATGAGGTGTTAGTCTTAGTCTGTTGTAAAACTTAGGCAGGAGCTTTTGTGTATACATGACTCACTATGTAGAAATGACTTTTTAATGTTTAGAAAGAAGGGGAGTTCAAAAGAAATATGACTATTTCTGGGTTTGCCCCAGGTTTGTTGAATCAAAAGTGGGTGAATACATTAGGAAGGGACAGTGCTTTCCCACTACCCCTATCCTGATTAAGAACCAGTGTTTCCTTAACCTGGAATCATTTTTACAGGTAAAAATTTGGTATGTCTAGTTCTTAAGCACCGCTAGGAAATCATTTTTTAATCTACAAAAAGAGCTCCAAACTTGTTAAAGGAAGGAAAACAGGACCCCTTTGCCTTTCAAGGATTTTATGGTACTTGAAAGGCAAAGGTTGTGGTGAATGAATGCAGCAAAATTGAGGTCACACTGCCTGTGTAACTTGTGGTTTCCTTCGCTGTAGGTACACTCAGGAGGAGACATTGGAGAAGAACCAAGCTGGGTCTATAAGGAGTCACACGTAAGATGGCACACATATTTATGCTGTATCAAAGTCATATGCACTTACCAACTCACCATAAACATTGTGACTATCTGGGTAATTGGGTGTGTTTTATGGGGGAAGTGATTTTTATGCCTCTGCACTCGTCTGTTTATTCAGTAATAAATATGTGAAACCTTTTGCCTGAACTGCTCTTTTATTCTTTTACATGAAGTACTAAATTCCCTCTTCTCCTAGATTTAACCCAGTGCTGGCCAATAGAACTTCCTGCAATGATAGAAAAATCTCCTGACTATCAAGTACTTGAAGTATGGCTAGTGTGAGTAAGGAACTGATTTAAAAATTTTTTAATTGTGATTATATATTAGCTCCATGTGGCTAATGGTACTTAAACCTTCTGTTGTGGGAGGTGCATATATGTGCCACCCTTGTAACTTGAGGTTAGCATGTTCTTTAAGTAGCCTCTTTATATGCTATTCTATAATTCCAGTCCTCAATAAATAGGAATCAGCTGATCCCAGGGGTTGGTAAACTGGTATCCTGTTTCTGTACAGCCTGTGAACTAAGTTTCTGCATTTTTAAATGATTGAAAGAAATCAAAAGAATGTTTTCACAAATTCAAATTTACTTGGCATTTATGTGCCAGCCACTACTGTAAGTACTTGGGATTAATTGATGAGCAGGCAAATGGTATATGAGGCTGGTTTTTTTCCTCCTATACAACAAAAGTGGTACAGTATATAGCAGTAATAATGCAACTCCTTTAGGGTTCCTGGACCCAATCCAGTGCATTTTCTGGGGGACTTCCTCCCCAACACAACACCAAACAATTCTCGAACACCCAGTAGGGTGTCCAAGAACTCAATTCTGACACTATCTGCCTGGAGACCACCAGATTCCTTAAGGGCTCCATCCCACAAGACTACCTTCCATCCCAGACTCCAGATGCAAGTCGCAAGCCCCAGGCAGTTCCCTATGCTTCTGACCTAATGGCTACAGATGGGAGGTTCCCATGACCTCCCCCTTAGGTTCAATTAATTTGCTAGATCGGCTCACAGAACTCAGGAAAACATGTTTACCAGTTTAATAACGGATACAAGTAAACAGCCAGGTGCAGAGATATATAGGGCAGGTCCCAAATAAAGGGGCTTTTATCCTTGTGGAGCTTGGGGCCTGGTTCCTCTGGCATGTGGATGCTTTATGGTTCCCAGAGCATGAAAGCTCTCCAGATGGAGAAGCAGGATCCAAGAGAGCTATTAAGCTCTTTTCAGGGTTTTTTGTGAGGGCTTCGTTGTGTAGTTATGATTGACTGAATTATTGGCCATTGACTGATTGAACCTTCAGCCACCCAGGCTCCCAATCCCCACCCTTGGGTAGGGTCCAAAAGTGTCTCATGAACATGACAAGACACCCATTTCACCTTTAAGACTGCAGTGTTCTCACGGTGTGTGTGGGCTCGCTGGGAAGACTATAGCCCAGAAGACAAATGGGGACTCTGGCATCTTACTACACTGATGGACAGTGACTGTGTTGGGGTATGGGGTCGGGGGGGACTTGATAATAAGGGTGAATGTAATAACCACATTGTTTTTCTTGTGAAACCTTTGTAAGAGTGTATATCAATGATACCTTAAAAAAATATATGCTTACAAAAGAAAAAAAGACTGCAGTGTTTTCAGAAACTGGATGAAGGCCAAATATACCTGGGAAGTACATACTTGGTCATCTGAATGACCAAATACGTATTTCTTACACAGAGGCTAATAGGCCAATGCAGAAGTTGTAACAAATGTCTGGAAAACATGGGAAGGAACAAAAATTTCCTAATTACCTGTGGAATTAAGATGAAACCTGCAGCAAAGGAAAGAGGAATCAAGTTTGGTGGGCACTCCATGGCCAGTTTGTAGGGAGCATGAGCTGGCAAGTGACAGGCAACAGGTGCTGTGCGTAGTGTGCAGCAAGTTGGGGTGGGGTAGGGTTGTGCAGCTCTGGAGCCCCTAACCTACAACCACACTAGAAGGCTCAGCTGCAGGATACCAACTAACCACCCTAGGAACCTGGGAGCTGCCAACAGGTATCTGGAACACATCTCAACTTCCTTTACAAGTCCCTAGATTTCAAATACTTTCTTGGATTGCGATAGTGGTGCCTTTGCATTCAAAGAGCTGCCAGTGTAAACAACAGTTGGTAAATGTTAACATGCTACAAATGTCATTCATGTCCAAAGCAGAGGAACTGGATACAATTAATTGGCAGGCAAGTGACAGGGAGCTTGTGGTTTTGGAGTATTAGAAGTACCTCAGCCTCACTAGTCAGAGTAGGTTGGGACAGGGCCAAAGTCATGCTAAGGGCAGAGAGCTTTCTCAACAGACCCAGTAGGTTAGGATTAGGAATGAAAGGGGAAATGACATGGACACCAGGGTTGGCCATGTACAAGGGGTTTTCTTGTGAGCCTGGGAGTTGGACATGGGTTCTGGTTCCAGAGGCCCCTTGGTAGCTTGTATACTTGCCACTGTTTCCTGATCAGTGGAGCACTGGATTGATGCTTCCTGAGGAAGAAATGGGAGCTTTGATATGTTTAAGGTTTACATTTACCAACAAAAAGTACAGCAGCAGATTGTCGGCCTTGTGCAGTCACCCACGGTGATAACTGCCCATTCCTTGATGGCCTACTGAGGAGCCGGCAGCAGCAAAGGGGGGGTTAAGAATTGGCAGTTTGAAGTATGATGGGACTGCACAGTCTGGGTTCAAATCTGCCATTCATTCACTAGCGCTAAACCTCAGTGTCCTCATCTGCAGCATGGGGCCCACGGGCCCTCCCTAAGAGTGCTGAGAGGATGGAATGTAAGAACACACTGAAGCCCTTGGCCCAGTGCCTGACCAGGAAAAGCAGGAATGGGGAGTGAGCAGGACTGAAGTTTTGGTGTAGAGCCTTCCAAAGCAGATGGACCAAGTACTGGATGAAGTTAAAATGAGACAAAGGGACCAAAGACAGCGGGAAGGGACAGGTCTTCATGGGAGAAGTCAGAGCAGGCACTGAGTTGGTGCTCAACATCAGTTGCTAGAGAGATGCCAGTTCCCTTCCAGTTGGCAGGATTTTAATTTGGAGGAGTAGAGTAACCCCTCACAGCCCTGGGAAGAAGGCAGGAAGACTATGAGAGTCAAAATCTTGGATCTTGCACTGACCTCGGGTTGAATCCCAGCTCCATCATCACTGAACCAGCTGTGGGAATTTACACTCTTAAGAGATTGCTTCAAAACCATAACACCTGGTTACCTCAGCTTTGTCAGGATTGAGTGGTAATATCTGAAAGGGTCAGTTCTACAAGATACTGTGTTTTACAGATGAAAAAAGTTTATGCACCCCCTCATTCCTCTTAATAGCAACTAACAGTTTGAGTGCCTAACATGCCAGGTAGCTGATGTTTGCGGGAATGGCAGTGAGAAACAATCTGAACTGTCTGAACGGGAGTAGATTTTTTAAATTCTTGGAAAGAACAGGGTAAAATAGCCATTTACACTTCCCTTATGTTGTATTCCAGAGACTCGAACATCAAGCCCCTGTACATGCAAAGTATCTGTGGGTGTTCGGGGACCAGAGGCTGTGCTCATCACATGTGTGTCGGAGGGGAGGTGGCAAACCCTCATCAGAGAAAACTAACCTTGCCAAATTAAGTAAATGGTCTGGGATAGTCATTCTTCATCAGGAGTGATTTTGTGCCTTAAGGCACATTAAGCAATGTCTGGAGACATCTTTGGTTGCACCAGTTGTGGGGAAGGGAAGTGCCACTGGCAGCATCCTGCCGTGCACAGGACAGTCCTCCACAACCAAGAATTATCCATCCCAAAAGGTCAGTGGTGCCAAGATTGAGAAACCCCCAAAGTGAACTTCTTGAGACACAGATCTGCTCAGCACACTACTCCCCTCTTCCTCCACTTCACAGTACTCTTTGGATAAATCTTAAAATGGCCCAAAAGAGCATGGCATAGCTCCTACCCCTCTTCACTCCTATGCCAGATCCAGCTATGTTGGTCTCTTTGTCTCTCAACATACCAAGCTCCACCCTACCTTAGAGCCTTCCCACATCATATTCCCTGGACCTGGACCTGGAATGTTCTCTCTATGCCTGGTGAACTCACATTCATCTTTAAGTTCTCAATCTACTTCTTGCTTCCACAGGGAGACCTTCCCTGGCTGCTCCTCTTTTCCCTTAATCCAGTTAGGTTCCTCTGCTTAGTAACTCTAATCACCCTGTAGGGTTCCTTCACAATTGTAACTATAAAGGTACCTGTGTGCTTAATTCTCTTCCTCATGACTGTGAACTCACAAGGATAGGGATGGGTCTGTCTTGCTCACTGCTGACTGTTCTCACCTAACACAGCATCTGGCACAAAGGAAGTGCTCAATAAATAAGTTGGTTGGATGGCTGAATGAATGAATGAATGAATGAAAGGGGACATGGACAAGTAAGTGAGCAAGAACAGAATGTGTTCCTTGCCATGTGTAATACAAGGAGTGAAGGAATAATGACTTGCCTGGAGAGTCAGGGAAGGCCTCCCCCAGATTCACAAGGAGGCAAACTGTGTGTGGGGTGTGTGTGTGTGTGTGTGTGTGTGTGTGTGAGTAGGTAGGTAGCTGGAGTTTAAGGTACTAGGGAAAGGATCAGGACAGGCAGCTCATGAAAGCTCAGGCATGCCATGATTTGGGAGTGGCGCTGTTCTCGCCACTCACGCTCTGTAGGACAGCCTCCTTCACCACACTGGGGGGCTGCCACCTGCACTCTAGTACAATCACTGCTGAAGCTGATGGAAACAGGCAGGAGCAGCAGGACAGGACTTGGTTTTCAGCCTGACTCTAAATGAGACTGTTCTCTTCATCAATTTGAATTATTTAGATTCCAGCAGAGCTGACAATACCAATGTTTTGGAGATGTTTCATAGAGACAAAGATGCACATAATAGTAGTAGTGAGGGAAATGATAGAATAATACACCAAAAATAGCAAACACCAGCAGCATAGGCCAGGCCAGGGTAATCTAGAGTAAAGAAAAAGAGAAAGTTTAAAAGTGAACATTCCTCCCTCTTTAAAAAAAATCCCCCTTCTTATCAATACTAGAATTATAGGCTTTAAAAAAATTCTGTTGAAAAATACATACAGGAAGGTGTACTTTCTTATAAGTATAGCTCAATGAATTTTCACAGGGTGAATCCAGTTGTGTCGCCACCACCCACATCAGGAAACATGATCAGCTTTCCAGAAGCCCCTCCTTGGGACCCCTTCCACACACCATCTCTCCCCAGCATAACCACTATTGTAACATCTAACAGCATGGATTAGCCCTGCCTGCTTTTACATTTTATATTAATGGAATAATTAACTTTGCATGTCTCCTTGTGCTTGCTTTTGCTCATCATCACAAGGTGTTAGCTGTTACGTGCAATTGTGGATATTGGGTTTCATTGCTGTATAATGTGTTAACCTTAAAACTATCAGTTATTTTACCAGCAAAAAGGGGTTTATTGGGGACCAGCAGAGGGTTGCAATTCAGGACACGCAAGTAATGGCAAAACCATAGGCAAGTCCAGAGAACAAAGGAAAAGAATGCTCTTTTATAGAAGAAGGGGGGCGTTAGAAGGAGCTGTTATAAACAAAAAGTCCATTGGAGTAATAAGTGAGTATAATGGCTTTTAATTGGCTGAGCTGTGACAGTCTCTCATTTGTTGGGCTTTTGCCAGGCAAGGAGAACACCTTTCTTCCTCCTGCTGGGGTAGTAAAGTACAGGAATCTTCCTGCAGGGAGTGACAGGCACAGTCTCTTCCGGTTGGGGTCCGCAATCAACTAGGAGTGGCAGGGTGTGAGAGCTCCCCCTTCTGGCATTCTGATTTCATTTTTTAAAGCATTTTTAAAAAACTAGTTGATAAACAATATTATATTGCTTTCAAGTATACAACATAGTGATTCGACAGTAATCTACATTATTAAATGCTTACCCCGACTAGTTTAGTTACTACCTGTCAACACAGAATGATGTTACAGAATCATTGACTATATTCTCTATGCTCTACTTTCATCCCCATGACTAATTTATATATATATATATATGATTGAGATTTTCTACCTCTATCCCCTTCACCTGTTTCACCGACCCACTCCAGTCCTTCCCCCATGATACCCACCAGTCACCTCTCAGTCTAACTTCATTTTAAAAGAGGTTTGCTTTTATTAATTTTCATAAGTGTTTCTATGTGTGACTATACCACAATTGTTTTCCCCATTATCCTCTTGATAGGCATTTGGATGGTCTGCAGTTTGGAGGCTTTATAGTTCTGCTCTGAGAATCTTTGTATATATCTTTTGCTGAACATATGTATACATCTCATTGCAGGTGATTTAATTTTATTTTTATATTTCTTAGGATGTAGAGTCATAACAAATGTTTTGTAATGAGAAGAAAGCTAATTAAAATTTCTACAGTGAAGATGGCTTTCATAATCAGGAAAATATTTTAAAGAAAAGGAAAAATAACTTTCTGGGCTAGAATAAAGCCATTCACATATGTTGCTTTTTATTTTTTTAAGCAGGGAATTTAATACAGGCTTTCAGAGATATCTCATGGAACCCAGGGATGGGGCAGCCAGGCTCCAAGAAGAACCAGAACCAGGGCCTTGAAAGCCATTGAGAAGTCAGGCAGCCTTCTCTCCCTCTAGGATTTTTCTTTTGGCTGCTTTCTGAAAGTCCACTTTACTCTCATCCCTTGGAAGACCTGTTTCCTCTGCTTTCAGAGCAAGACCGAACATGGCGTCCTCTTTGTCCTAGAGAAAAATGGGCAGGAATCTTTCAGTCTCAACAGCAAGATCATAAGAAGGTAAGTCTGATTGGCCGAGTCAAGACTCAGTAAACTATGGCTCAGGGGGCAGGGTATAACCATGACTGCCCTATGGGTAGGCTGGTGCCCAGAGTGAGCAGTAGGGGCTGAGCTGACATTCCAGAGAGCATCTACTCCAATGGCACTCTGAGCTAGGAACAAGAAACCTGTATGCTAGTCCTGGTGTTTCCTCAAGAAATCCCTACCTCTCTGGGCCTTTGTCCTCTTAGTTGCCTCTCTGCACCCAGGGCTATCTTTAGGACTTTATGGTGAATTTTGTTTAAATTTGCTTTTCTGTGAGTATTTTCAAAGGCTTCCAAGAATACTGACAGGTGGAAAAGATGCCATGTCAAGTGAACAAGAGAGAATCCTGAATTAAATTAGACAATCCTGTGAGCTGTGGGATTTGAAAAAGCGATACCCTTTTGACCTAAGATCAAAATCTTGGATTTAGGCCACAGGCCTATTAGGAGTTCAAACTAGAATCAAATGTTAATTCTGTCCATAGGCTCAGAGATGAGTCCATGTTCTAATCTGGAGCCACTTGTTCTGGCAGACCTTATTTCATGCCTTATGTATTATAGCTTGGTCCCTGTCTTTCTGAGTTTTTTTCTGAAACATGTATTTTGATGAGTTCCAAGCAGGACAGGTTAGATGTTACTTTTCCTTTTTTTTTGTATGTTATATGTATTTTTAAAATTAAAGTATCATTAATATACAATCTTATGTTAGGTTCCAATGTACATCAGAGTGGTTCAACAGTCTTCGTGACCAACTTATATTGTAATTGCAAATTATTGTGCCACTATTATACCCCTACCCCCCACACCCACCCAAACCTCTCCACCTTGGTATCCTCCCAGAGTGTTCTGCCTTTCCCTGGTATCCAGCCCCACTAATCACCAGAAACCAATGTAATATGGGCTTGTGCTCCCTGAGCAGGTCTCCAGGGCCAAGTGTGCAGCACTCCTGGGCTCCTACCCTCTGCCCACTCTCTTCCCCTTTCTCCTGCCTGTAGGCTTGTGTGGGGAAGGGCTTGGACCCCACTCAGTCTTGGCTGTGCCACTTTACCCTTTTCTCTGTGATCTTCTCTTCTTCTTAAGGTGTAGGTGGTCTATTCTACAGTCTTGAGGTTGTTTTCAGGTTTAGTTGCATTAGCTATATTTTCTTCTTTTCTGTGTTTTTTGGAGGAGGTTTCTACCTTGTCATCCTATACTGTCATCTTTTTCTGGAAGTCCCAGTAGAGGTAACTTTATTTTTTATTACCAATTCACTATCGTGGTTGTGATTTAAAACATTTAAAAAACATAGAAACAATAGGGGAAACTGAATTCAGGGTAAACAGGAGTGCTCTGTAATATTCTTGCAAATTTTCTGTAAGTCTTAAACTATTCAAAAATAAAACATTTATTGAAAAATAAAATAACTACCCAAACACCTAAGTACATTTTTAAAGAGAAGAGTTTTGTTTACAAATCACTAAAATATTTTGAGCTTCACTAGTGATGTCTACATGATAAACACCTACCTTAAGGTCATGTCTGCACTGGTTGGGTCCCCATTGGTGGACAGAGAAAATGTACTATTTGTGGGCTGTCCAGGCTTAGCATAACCAATTGTGTAGGTTCTTTGGTTAACTGCATGGGGGCAGCAGAGTGACATGGAAAGCTCAACAGAGCTTTGGAGCTAGGGAAGGTCGGGGATTACATTGCATATCTTTCACTTATTAGCTGGGTGACGTTAGGGGAGTTAATTAACCACCCTGAGTATGTGTGAAACGGGGGCTAATAATTCTGTGGTATAGACTTGCTGTGACAATTAAAATAGACGGTGAGTTCAAAGTGCCTGCTCTAACAGCAAAAATAGTTCCTGGTCAATTGTTGGGAATTAGTAAATGGTAGCAATTCATCTTAAAGATTTCCTGGTACAAATCTGTAACTGATATTTTTTCTTCTTTCTTTTTCCTTCCTTCCTCCCTTCTTTCCTCTTTTCCTCCTTCCTGCCTGCCTTTCTTTCCTTCTTTATTTTTTGACCAGATGGGGGCAGGGATGCAGTTTCTGTTTCAGCAGGTAGTTGACAGAAAACTCACACTGGTGTAGATATTTAGGTGAAAACTGAAAACTGGAAATGAATCGGCAACAAACTGCTATAAGACTCCCTAATTTATAGAGGAAGTAGAAGTCTGGAGCCCAGTGCTATTCTTAGGAAACAGTGAAGAGTCCCAAGAAGATGAGAATATTTATGTCCAAATGGGAACAGTGAAGAATAACATTCATTCTTTTAACAAATATTTATAGAATATCTACATGTGCCAAGCAATGTGCTGGCTGCTGGGGATACAGTGGTAAATTGGCTAGGCTGGATGCTGTCCTAAGGACTCTCGCAGCTCTATTATTCTTTTATTCCTAGAGATCCTTTTTTCTCTGTTCCTCAGCTTCATTGTGTTCCTGTTCTCTAATTTCCATCTCATTGATTGTCTCCTTTACTTGCAGGAATCTAATATTCATTCCCTACATTTTGAGTTTCATTTCAGTTACTATTCGTCAGTTCTTCTACCTGTTTGTTGATGTCCTCCCTGAGATCTTTAATACATTACTGCAGATCAGTGAGCAGATATATGACTTTTACTTTAAAATCTTTATCAAGAAGATTGGTGATCTCTATTTCATTTAGCCCTCTTTCTGATGTCATCCTGTAGTTTTGTTTGGAACATATCCCTCTGCCTCCTTATTTTGTGTGGGTTTCCATGTTTCTTTCTTTGTATTAGATGGATCTACTTCCTGATCTAGAGAGTAATGGCTTTATGAAGAAGGTATCTTGTAATTCCTAGAAACTCAGGACACTCCTCTCCAGGGCCTGCTCCTCCTTGGCGATGAAGCCCCAGTTGTTGTTGGTGGACTATATGTAGGGGGTCACCTTTCCGTTTGTCTGCTGGCAGTGGTTTATCTCAGTCTGCTGAGGCCGGTGGTTTGCCTCAGCAGGGCCTATGTGACCAGAGCAGTGGTTTCTGCTGGGATCATTGTTGGCAGTGCTGCCCTTGCCCTGCTGTATAGTGATGGCAGGAATGCTTGGTTAACAAGGTGGGTGAGGTGGTTGCAGAGAAAGTTGCATAATGGTAGGGTGCACAGGTTCATATTGGTGGCAAGTCACCTGGTTGTGGAACCCTTAGATGCCCAGCAGTGGCGGCAAGTCATGCAGTAGGAAGGCACAGAGGCACACAGCAGCAGCAGTGGGGCATGCCATGGTGGCAGCTGTGACAGTAAGAATCATATGCTGTGTGTGCTTAGGAAGCAAGTTGCATAGTGGAAGGGCCTACCAGCTCATGGTGGTGGTGATGTGCATGGTGGGGGGGAGGTGGCACAAGGGTGACTGGAGGTAATAAGTTTGGTGGTGGGAGATCCTGCCAGTGGTGGAGGCAGATAGTCACACCTCAGTGGCACACAGCTGCAGCAGTAGTGAGTTCTGCAGGTACTTCCTAGCAACAGTGAAACATGCAGCACCCACTGAGTTTGGCCACCCATGGGGAGGAAGGAGTTTTAGGAGCTGGCTCCTGCAGGCATCTCTCCAGTTAGGCTGAAAGCTGGGAGAGTCTCCCTGTACCTGCCAGGCGGCAAAGTCAAATGCTGCTTGGCTGAGTGGGCTGGTCTGTCAGTGGCACACGGGGAGGCATCTCTGGGATGAGCTGCCAGTGAGGAGGATGGAGGACCTGTAGCTCCTGAGAGTGCTCAACTCACTGGGCTTAGGGGGGCTGAGGAGGTATCATCCTCCTGCCCTTTCTCCTGCAGAGACAGGAGAAAGGGTTCCATCTTGCCTTCCTACTCTGCATCTTGAGGCTCCCCCACCCCCTGGGTTTTCTTATATGCACATTAATAGCTTTAGCTAAGCCTTGGGTCTCTTGGAGCCAAACTAATACTTACAATGGATGTGCCTTGGGGTTGGGGATCATATGGTGTCGTACAGTGTACCTTGTTGCAGAGAAGTTTTTTTGAGGTTGGAAGGTAACCTAGTGTCGATCTAACCTGTTCCACAGTCAGCTTATCCTAAAATAGGAATCTGAGTTATGTAGGGAGTACTCTAACAGCCCTTAAGTGCTTGGCTCATGCCCACCAGTTCTGTAGCTTTGGCTTCCAAGATGTCCCTTGGTCACAGCCTTTATCTCATGTGCACATTAACCCACAGCAAAATTCATCTAAATAGACTTCAGTCTGGTAAGAACCATGGACTCACCAATCTGTAAAGCCAGTTCAAATAACAGGCTTATAGGGCCCATGCTTGTGTGTCCTGTCCTGTGATTTTTCCTCCTTATGACTGACAAATCAAAAACTCTATAGCTCTCTGATATAAAAGGGTTTATTGAGCCTTTACAGATGCAGCCAGAAAAGGACTGAGTCCTGGAACAGGAAGTTTCTGATTCACCAGTGTTGCTCTGGAAGGTGGGGGTTCCCTGAGTTGGGCAAGTTCATTATGAATTCACTAAGAATGAATAAAGACAACAAAGTTGGGGGTTAAAAGGGGCTCATACCAAGTTTATTCTGAGGGCAGTGACCCAGCTATGTATAAGTGGCAAAGACAACTCAGTCTCTCCTGGCTCCAGCACTGCACCCTCCTGTTCCCCAGCACAGGGCTCTCTTCTTCCTTCCTAGCAGTGGGGCTCCATGGCTTCTCTCTCCTGCTTCCTCTCTCTGCCCCCTAAGCTCTTCACTTCTCTGCTCTCACCACTCTCTCTGATCTCTATTTTCCCACCTGTGGTACCAGGAGGAACTCTGTGGGCAGGTCTCTATGGTGACTGGCAGGCACCAGCCCAATTATATCTAGGCGCTTGTGTTCCCTCTCTACCCCACCCCTGGGCTGGTACTTCTGTGACTGATGGTTTGCTCTTGGCAGCTCTGTCAGCCAATAAACATCCTTCCACCCACAGGTATGCAAACAGGCTCTTTTATGTATAAAGTGGGTGATATTAAAGCCAGGTGAGACTCCTGCTCATCAAATGTCCATTTCTC